ATATCCTCTTCTTTTAAGGCCCTCAGAACCACACCCCGACCACCATTCCTAATCCATTCACCACTGTACAGTCCTACAATCCAATCACCTCTTCAAGGCTCCACCTTCCAATTACCATAATAGGCTCTCCTCTTCTTTTAAGGCCCTCAGAACCACACCCCGACCACCATTCCTAATCCATTCACTACTGTACAGTCCTACAATCCAATCACCTCTTCAAGGCTCCACCTTCCAATTACCATAATAGGATTTCCCACCCTCTGAACAGTCACCGTGGGGACCAAGTTTCTAATACATAAAACTTGGGGGACACAATTCAAGCTTCAGTGACTTTTGGGGGGACATAATTCAATCCACTACACCCTCCCTCACCTGGTGACTTCGAACCTTTGTGTGATGCTGCTGTGTTCAGCAAGGCCAGGACAAAAAGACTTCATCAAGTCCTCTGGATGCTTCCACAGTAAGCCCCTCGCCAGTCTCCCCTCAGCAAATGCTCCAGAACTGAGGCTCCAGGATTGACATCCCCAGCCCAAAATGTGACCAAGCAAATCAGACAACTGCAGAGCAGTCCACCCCAACTCTGTCCCTTTCTGTTAAATGTAATCTGAGATTTCCCACAGAATACAAAGTAAAATTCCTGATGGATTTACTCTGAAGGGATTAGTGCCTAAAGACAGTGAGGTAGCAGAATGGACAAAACTGAGAAGGCAAAACCACGAGGGAGCAGGATGCCTGGTCATCCTGGTGCATACAAATGAGAGGAAAACTGTGACAGAAGACAAGACTAGGTGATGGCAGGCAAACCAGGCGAACAAAAGGCAGCGAAGAGAACACCATGGGCTTCTCTTTTAAGAAAGAGAAACTGCACTTTTAAGAAAGAATATAATTCACACGACTAAGTTTGGAACAGAAACACACAAGAGCGGAAAAGTGGCTTCTTAAAAGATGCTTTTGCCAGTACCTGAGCAGACACCAGTGTGTGCAACTATACAGACACCACAGCACTACAGAATTCTAAATTTCTCAAATTTTGAGGCCAGGTACAGCTGTGGCTTCCAACAAAAGTAACCAAAAGTGAGGAAGATCATTGAATCACTGTTTTGCTGCAGATGCATGGGTGTATATTACTCAATTTTTATCTGGAGGTTCACATTCCTATTAAAAATAATAACCAGGTTAAGTTATTAAAGGCTTTAAAAGTGTTGACAGCTCAAAGCCATGCAGAGTTGTAGTCATGAAGCACAATGAAGTTTCCTTTCTCCTGCTAGCTTGTCAAAACTTTCAAAGTGCTAAGCACCCACACAAAAGAACACCAAGAGAACGACGGTGAGGAGTCAGTGAGTTCAGATAAGGTGGAACAGAACACCACGTGTCATCCTTCCGAAGCTGTTCAAAGTATTAAAATGTTCATTTATGGCATCTATGGGGGCACCGCTGCTTCCTGTGCTGCAGGGCACACATCTGGGCACTACCTGTCATCGCAGGAACACCGTGGTGTACAGAAATGGGTACAGCTGCACCCTGCTGGTCACAGGGCAGGCCGACATGACTCTTAAGAAAGCAATCTGACAACGTTCATGAAGAGCCACAAAGGCGATCTTGCTTTTTTTTTTCGCTTTGCAATTTTATGTCTGGGAATACATTCTTAAAACATCACTCCAAAGAAGGAAAAAAAGAGTCTTCCACAAAGATAAATATGTTCCTTACAGCATTACTGATGACAGAAAGCTTATAAATAATGTAAATATCCACTGAAGAAGAGTCAAATTGTGGCAAATCCATTTGATAAAATAATATATGATCCAAACAGAGACTACATAACTATATAAGAATCATTAAGGAAATGAAACATGTCCATATGATTATAACTGTTCAAGAAAAAAAAATACAGAACCAAATATGGCAATATAAAGTTGGGGTAGAATGTATAAAATGGCACATTTTCTTTTTTTGTTTGTTTGTTTCCTTAACATTGCCATAACACTAAGGGGGGAAAAAATCTAAATTTATCCTGCATGGATACAAAAAATGTATGTATTAAGTTATTTAGGTATAAACACTGATGAAGAAGTTTTATAAAAGTTTTTGTTTAACAAGCTAAGTTCAGATTGAAGATTAGTCTTGGTCTGTAGTATGAACTCTGAATCCTTGACCTTTTCCACAATTAGGCACACTGTCCTTGTTTCGGGCAATTATCTGAGACCTCTATTGCTTGGAGACACTGAAACAGGGCGAGAAGGTCCTGCAGTTCTGGGTGGCAAAGGGTGGGTGCCACATGGCCACCCCTCCCTACACCCAGGAAAACAGGATCTGCTCCTCAGCAAGTCGAGCTGAGCTTAGACACAGCCCCGCAGGCCTTCCTAGCCCGCGCTTGAGGCTGCCGCTTCCCCCAAGGGGAACGTGGTCCGTGAGATAAAATCTTCCTGCTCTCCTGACACTGCCTCCTGGTTTCTTGAATAAAGCATCATAGAAGACTGGCTTTTTTTGGTTAAAAGTTTATTTCAAAAGTTTATTTCTTTTTTTTTTTTTCTTTTTTGGCAGCTGGCTAGCATGGGGATCTGAACCCATGACCTTGGTATTATAAGGCTGTGCTCTAGCCAACTGAGCCAACTGGCCACCCCTAAAAGTTTATTTCAGAAACCTAAATACTGCATATTCTCACTCATATGTGGGCGTAAAAAATAAATAAGTTGACCTTTTAGAAGTAGAGACAGAACTGTGGTTACTAGAGGCTGGGAAGAGTGGGGCAGGGTAGTGGTTAAGGGAGACAAAATTACAGCTAGACAGGAGGAGTCAGTTACAGTGGTCTATAGCACTGTTAGGTGACTATAGTTGACCTTTTAGAAGTAGAGACAGAACTGTGGTTACTAGAGGCTGGGAAGAGTGGGGCAGGGTAGTGGTTAAGGGAGAAAAAATTACAGCTAGACAGGAGGAGTCAGTTACAGTGGTCTATAGCACTGTTAGGTGACTATAATTAACAGTAATTTATTGTGTGTTGTCAACTGGCTAAAAGAGAGGAGCTTAAATGTTCTAATGCAAAGAAATGATAAACTTTTGCGACGATGAATTTGCTTACTACCCTGACTTGATCATTACACATTGTATTCATGCACTGAAATATAACTCTGTACCCCATAAATATGTATAATTGATACATCTCAGTTAAAAATAATTTTTTTTTTTTTTTGTCTTTTGTCTTTTTCCGTGTCCGGCAACGGATCGCAACAAGATGACAGCTGTAAGCGGCAGGGCTCCAGAAAGATGCTGGGATTGCAAAAGACCACAGCTTACCTTCAGTCAGCAGATGCCCACCTGATACCATCCAGCAGCCTTAGTTAATTGTCAGAACTNCCGAACCCTCGGGCGGGAGCGCTGCCGCGCTTCCCAAGTGGCACACTATCCAGTGCGCCACTGGGCCGGCCCTAAAAATAATTTTTAAAAATTAAAAAAAAAATATGTTTACTTGAGGGTATTAACTCCTCTTTAAAACTGGTTTCTGGGGCTGGCTGGTTAGCTCAGGTGGTTAGAGCATGGTGCTGGTAACACCACGGTCTGGGGTTCCATCCCTGCAGGGCCAACCGCCAAAGAAAAAAAAAAATTGGTTTCCTCTTACACCCTACCAGCACCAAAAGAGACCATTTTCACAAAGAAAACATGTGAAGTTTAAATCTACATGAAAGCTACACCTGCTTATCCAGCTTTCTTGCCATGACTAAGATGCAAATTTACTATCTGAGAGGTTTGCGGTTTTCCCTGTCACCTAAAATTAGATAAGTCTTGGGCAAACACTCGATCAACACCATACACCATGCTGTGAGGTACAGTAGTGCTGAAGTGGCCAGTTTCTGATTAGTTGTGACAACTGCACAGAATATGGGACTCAGCTGAAGAGCCACAAAGACACCCTGACAGATGACAGCTGTAAGCGGCAGGGCTCCAGAAAGATGCTGGGATTGCAAATGACCACAGCTCACCTTCAGTCAGCAGATGCCCACCTGATACCATCCAGCAGCCTTAGTTAATTGTCAGAACTGCAATTATGTTCATGGGTTTCATTTGCTCTTAATACTTCATCAGAAACTCGCGGCTCAGGAACAATGACCATCTTTCCAGCCCCACCAACACAACAGCACAAACCACCGGCGTCCCGCTCAGCCTCTGTGGCCTGAGCACTCAGCACTGATCAGAACACACCACGTGCAGAGGGACGCCCAACGAGTGGTTTGGGATCACAATGATTTATCACAAAATGAAGACTCTCAGCATCAACTGGGGAGGGGAAGGACTATAAATTATTCTTAGTAAGTGCTATAGTCTGAAGGTCTGTCCTTTCCAAAGCCGATGTGGCAGTGTCGAAAGGTGGGATCTTTGGGAGGTGACTAGATCATGAGGACTATGCCCTCATGATCAGATTAATGGATTAATGGGCTAACAGGTGAGTGGGTCACCACAGGACCAAGACTGGTGGCTTCGTAAGTACAGCAAGTGAGCAGGTTAACAGGCGCTCATCAGTCCCTCTCAGCTGGTAATGCCCCGTGCCACCTCAGGACTCTGCAGAGTCCCCACCAGAAAGGAGGCCCTCACCAGATGCTGAGCCAGGCCCCTGGACTTCCTGACCTCCAGAACTGTGAGAAATAAACCTCTTTTTAAAATAAATTACCCAGTTTCAGGTATTGTTATAAGTGACAAAAAACAGACTACATACAGTAAGTAATATTCTTACAGTGCCTATCATTTCCTGGCATTATCCTTTCTGCAGGGAGGTGCAGGACACTAGGAGTATTAAGGTTATTAAGTGTTGTTATTGGCAAAGCCAGCTAGGACTTTGGAGACTGAGGATTGAGAAGGAAAGGAAAGGTCCACACTAGGGTACAGCTGGGGAAGTAAGACCGAGCCAGGGAGCTGCGGGGGTGGGCATGGAGGTCCTCGGGCAGGTGGGCGGGAAGCACCAAAGCTACCCTGCACTGGATACTCTGGCTTGGGCCTGGCCCTGACCCCAGGGAGCCAAGAGTCAATGTCTGATGCTACAGAATCGCTGTTAAGTGTCTCACACGCGAGGGTGGCATTGTGGCTATGCTAACAAGTGCCCATCTGTGAGACTGCACACAAAATGCTTACAAATGACACTCCCTGAGGACTGACTGCAGCCAAGCAAGGGTGGGCGGCAGGGGGGATAGACAGGGTCGGAAACAGCAACAACTGCTGACGCTGGGCCTCTGCTCTCTACTTCTGTGCACATTTGGATATGTCCATCACAAAAAGTTTTTTAAAAAGGTATAATACTAACATTCATAATGTCAACGGTGAGTTTCAAAAAAGTAAAGAATTCCTTTCAATTCCTAGCCACACAATTATTCACTTCAACTGGCCTCTGCCCAGTTACATGTTACCCCCAAAATGCCTGCAGGCAGGAAAGAGGGAGGCACTCACGGGGGGCTCCTCGTTAAGCGTCTGCAGCATCCAGGTTTCCAGAGTCTCGAAGTCCCGAGGACCTTGGTACTTCACAGCTTCTTGGCCAGGCTTGAAAAACTTTAAGCTGAAAGAGTAACAAAGGATTAGACAGAGCAAAATTTTGAAGCACGTTGAACTCCCTGAGTTGAGCACACTGCCTTATCCAAGAGCAAACTCATTTAGCAAAACAATCAGAGAATGAGCTGTCGAGGGGCTGCAGCCAGATCTGTATCTGCCGCTCTCTGATAAAACTGGAAAACGAGGGGCTGGCCCGAGGCTCACTTGGGAGAGTATGGTGCTGACAACGCCAAGTCAAGGGTTAAGATCCCCTACTGGTCATTTTTTAAGAAAAAAAAAA